ACTACTACGTTTAGAAACGATCGTTCTCGAAAATGGAATTATTAGATTCGATAGGAACATTTAACTCGGTTCTATAAAAAAAAAAAAAAAAAGAAAAAAAAAAGAAATAAGTCGGAAAGAGTTTCGTTGTTTAAAAGAAAAGAAAAAAAATAGATTATCTATTAGCATTCGTTATTACACCGTAGAATGATTGATTGTTGCATTGTCCAAGTTTCGCTTGATACTTTCTAATTCTTTCATATCCGATATCGATGTTTCACATTTGTAAACAACGAGGGAATGATAAAAGTGAACGGCAAAGGCTACGAATACTATAAGTACAGGTATTACTATAACAGTACTGGCAGTAGCAGCGGTGAAGGAATAATCCCAAAATTTGACCCAACAAAGTATCGCTACTTCTACTAAAAATAAAAACAATCCTAATACTGTAGAAAATGCCCAGGCCAATTCGATGAAGCCGCGCATTCTTTCGTGCGGGGATTCTGTTACCAGACGCGACACTTGTAATTTACTTATAGCTTCGACATTTGGTAAAAGATACGTGCTTATCATTAATGCAAAGATGTGCACTGATACCAATACCGTCGTGCAAACCGCAAACATAACGAATAGCCATTCCGGTACCGCAGTTGGATCATTTATTTGTAGTTCTACCATTGCAACCTGAAGCAGAAAAATATTCAACGCAAATTTAATAGATACGAGAAATACGAAAGAAAAAGAAAAAAAAAAAAGAAAAAGAAAAGAAACAAAATGAGCTAAGAAATATGAGACTATAATATCTTTACGTTCTTTCATTCTTCTAATTAGTTCTCATTTTTTTAAATTTAGATTTTGTTTTTTTTTTTTCTTTTTTAAGATTCATGTGATATGACTAAGGTGTGCTAAGAGCGTCAATCTTTTTATGATTGTCGAGTAGGTAAAAGCTTAATCACACATTGCCGCTATCTTTTTCTCTTAATGTCGATTAAAATGAATTTTTCAACGTAAAATAATTCTTACTAATAATAAAGAAATATATATATATAGAAGAAAGCGGCGTTCATCTTGCATAATCAGAGATCAAACTTGAAGATCATACACGGAATTGTCGTTGATGTTGATTTAATGATTTTCAGGAAACGTTGTGTAATCGGCTAGAATGATAGAGACTTTGTTCGTAGTAACATATTTTCAACGTTTTCTCTATTTTTGATGATAAATAAAATAAACCAATTTGAAGATTTGTCATTAGCGGTAATTTATTATGAAATCATCATAGTAAATAAAGTGAAGAATGTTGTAAGAAAAAAGATAAAGAGATACGATATTTTTCCTATTCATTAATTAGATGGGAAAGAAGTTTACCATTGCAAAACCACTTAAAAGTTCGGACGTAGTCGCGGTTGCTTTTAGTTTTGCTCTGCTCAAGTGCAATCTTCTCCAGGAAAGTCCTTGCGGTCCGTCCTGTTCCTCGATCGAAGGGGTTGTAACGAGTGGTACATTCGTATGAGAAATTTGCGATCCAGTGCAGGAGCAACAACACGTGTTACAAGGTTGTACAATACCCCCAGATGTACCAGCATAATTGTTCGAATTTGAAGGCAGATAAAAATGGGAGGGTGGAGGTATTCCTGGAATGCTCGATCGCATATCCAACGTGACATATTTGCTCGCTCTGTTTTTAGCCGATAATATCAATTCGCTTTGCGCCGAGTTAAGCGTGTTATTTTTTGGATTGTAATTGGAAAAATTCGATTCGCTTATCTGATATTGATTATGCTTCGGCAAATGCAACGTAGACGTCGAACGTTGCTGTTGCTGATGCTGCTGCAGTTGTTGTTGTTGTTGTTGTTGTTGTTGTTGTTGTTGTTGTTGTTGTTGTTGCAATCCACTGTAATAAGATTTATGTCTCCAATTTGATTGAGATATATCACTTTGCGTTGATTTATTCGATTTACCGATTACAAGTTCTTCCGGATAATTTTTCGCCCCCTTCTCGTATTCTATACGATCTAAACTTGTTACGCTTTTAGATTTAACGATAGATCCTGAGTTATCTCGCGACATTACGTTAATCAATCAATTTGAATTTTCTAATGTTAGCACATTTTCTTCATTTCGCACATTAACACAATACCCACACCTACAAATTTCTACAATCGGTAGCGAGTTCGGCGCTACTTAGACGCAAACTGAGAAGATCTCCCTTCTTTACGACTACTTCGAACGACTCTACTAGTGGGATAGATCGGTGCTTAAGTGTATACGTCTACGTCACGATGTATCTCTGAATCATAACAATAGTATTAATCGTTTTCAAGCTATGTCGATCGCATAATAACCGAGTACGCTGATCCTCCTCCTCCTTCTTCCTTTTTCGTTCTTATCCTTTTATCCTTCAGAAACGAAAAGTTTATTCCACACTATTCATTCGGATATGGTAGATTCGATGAAACCTACGTAAGTATTTGCATATACCTATATAAGTATGCATATATCTAATGTTTACTACGGAAATGCCTTCTGATTTTCCTCGTTATTTTTTTTATACGATCTATTCAAAGAAAATAAAAAGAGAAAGAGAGTAAATAAAAACCTAACGAAGGCTATTTGTATTCTAACCAGACCACCACTTCTACTTACCCCGAAGAAAATAATCACATTATTATTTATAAAAGGAGAATCGTTCTTCTTCGTAATAAACGTTACACGACATTCATACGTAATCAATCCGATTTCCTACGATGGAATAATACAATTGGATTTTTTTTAAAACATCTATCGTAAATAAATAAATATAAACTTATAATGAGAGACGATTTTAAAATGCATCTAAAATTTTCTATTGTTCATATGATTATACTCGAATGAACAATTTTATGATTTATGGAGATTTTAATTAACATATTTATATTATTTTATCGAGGAACATAAAAAATTATCTATCTATACATTATTTACTTATACGTTTGTGTGTATGAGTAAGTGTAAATGCAAGGGAAAAGGTTTCACATTTCCATCCTACTTACAATACTATATTCTTTGATAGTATTGTGTATCGTGATCGCGTTGTGTATTTACTATCGCTCACTGGTGGTCCCGGTAGTAACTAAAGTGAATCTGGGTAGATAAAAAAGGGGACTTTTTTACCTAAGACAGATTTGTTATTAATCTGGAATACCTGTTTGCTTGGGTGGATTATTAAAGATCAAGGAAATGTAAGTAGGATGGAAATGTGAAACCTTTTCCCTTGCATTTACACTTACGCATACACACAAACGTATATGTAAATAATGTATAAATTTTGCTCGGTTCAATAGTGGAAATTTTTTAATTACGGCTGAAGAAAATGGTTGTCAATTTCAAAGGTTGGTAGTACTGTTCGTTGATTGAGAGTAAACGTACGCTGTGTTTCTATTATTGCTGTATTGTATAATTATCATAATTATTGTGCATTTTATGTTAATATTTAAGAATAATTATCAAAATAATTTGTATCCACAGTTTTTCGTCATAGTGCGTGTGCAACAAATTAAACCGAACTAACGCGTGTCGAATTAAAAAAGTATTTCTTTGAGGATAGAATTTGCGCAATCTTTCTAGAAGAAGAAAATTTACATCTAGTGATAAAAAGAAACATACTCGAACAATAACAAAGAGAATCCTAACATCTAAACGTTTATTTATTATTATTCTATTTTGATGTTTTCCTTCAATGTTTAATACATTCATAAAGAAGAAATAATATCAATATTTTTTTTGTGTATACAAAAAAGTGCTAAGGTTAGCGTCACTTGTACGAGTTTACAATTAAAATTTAACTTTCAACTATTTTTTTTCTCACTAATTTGAACGATCTAAATTATTTTCCGATAATCATCTTAATGTAATATCTTATTTCGTGTATATCGTCGCTATAAGATTAAGTTCGAAATATAAAAGTTCAAGCGTTTTTACTTAATTGTTCCAAATGACAGTAAGTAACTTCAAATATTTAAGGAATTACTTAAAACAACTTGCTTGTTTCGTTATTCGTTAATTTCAGTTAGAAATGTCGTATTTTAAATAAATGCTTTTTCTTTCTTTTCTCCCTTTGTTCCTTTTTTTTCTTTTTACTGTAGAATACAATGGGAGGTACACATCTGCATACTCCGCCATCGATATTTCAACACATGATAATACAGCAGGGTACCTCTCAGCAAGTCGGTTCTTGGACGCAAATGCCTCAAGTATTACCCTTATCCATATCTTGGAGCGTACCATCTGTACAACAATCAGAATTGATCAGATTTACAGGCGAACAAAATGTTACGTCCTACCTACATCAAAAAAGAAAATTAGAAACACCGGATGTACTTGACATGTAAATGTTCATTTTGGTATTTTTTTAATACCGTCAACTTGAATAAGAGATCTATTTTTTTGATTGATAAAGTAATGTGCATTATTTGTCGCTTTGATAGCAGAAAGACAAAGCAATTAATAACGGAAGAAAAAATGGCTGCACACTTTCAAGATTTACATATCAGTTCGAGTTATCATTCACAAGATCCTGTACCATCTACGTCAATGGCGAATGCTCAATTTGAAAATTCCAACGTAGAGATGGATATTGAAACAACCAACGTGGTCGATTCTGAAAATATAAAAACTCCAAGATTAGTTTTATCAGAAGAACTCAAAAGAATACAACACGAATCTATTCTACCAACGACTCTTTTATCCAAATTGTAAATTAACTATGAAATAATGATTTGATATATGAATACATATATAGATATTAGAACAGTTACAATTTATATTTTCAGGGAAAGGCCATCTATGGCATTAGTTCTTTGGGAACCACCGAGCAAACATCTTCGTATTTTACCTACGAGAGATATTCCCACGCCAGCTTCTAACGCGTCAGATGACAATAATAATAACAACAATAACAACAGCGATGGTATACCTGATTTAAATCAAACAAACTCGTTCGAACCAATGGAATTATGAAATACATATTTAAATATTTCTTATTACTTAACAAACTGATGCGTCAAAAAATATTTTTAGCTCGCGATAAAAGATTTTAATTCAAATTGATTTCATTGGACTTAGCTATATTGTGATTAATTTATCTTATTTTCAAATAAACAAGTAAGTGAATGTTTATACAATCAAATAGTATGAATTTCAACCACTTCGTTGGTTGATTTATGCGATAAAAGTAGCCAGCCAAGCGAACATCATTTTCTTTATATCTGATATTTTCTTCTTATTATCTCATTTTCTCCACACACTTTTGATATAGCCTATACACGTCTACGCGCATATTATGCAATAATTAATGGTTTTGCATAATTCGAAATATACAGGTCTTGCATTCCAAATTTCTTTTTTTAAGCTTTTGTATTAAAAAAAGAACAAATATAATGTAAATTTATTATAAAAAATACAAAATTATTTATGTATTAAAATTTTGTGTCTTATGCCTTGGAAAAATTATAGTAATTTTGCTGTTAAAAAATAATTTGAATGATTTGTTGAACAAATTAATTATCTGAATATTAGATGAAAATTTAATTCGCCAAAGTTTGAATTTGTTTTGCAGAAGGGTCAATTGTATTCACAAAAAATTGAATTTGATGTGCAAAACCTGTAAAGTATGGTCTGTTTCATTTCGGCGAACATAATAAACATCATTCTTAATAGATTGTTCTTGCGGTATTAAGTATAATATTTGTTCGTTTCTTGCTTATTATTATTATTGTTTCATTCATATAACGATTACATAATATATATATATATATATATATAAAAAGAAAAAAACAAAAACGATTCGAATATAAAATAGAATTTTATGCTATTTCTTCATACATTACAGAATTCAGCTCTATCATATTCCTTTGTCTTCGTTTTATTATATCTATCATTATATTGTATAATCTTTTAATAGTATACCCCTCTATGTGCAAATATTAGTGATAAAATAAATAAGTCAAAAAGAAAAATGATCTTTTATATTCATAAATTTGTCGATTTAATTTGCCATACAGGATGAATTACAAAAATAAAATCGTAATTTCGTCATTTGGAAAGAATAAATAAACATTCGATAGGTTCGTCGTACATTATTTTCTAACTGTCGACAAAACAGAGCGAGACATTACCAGCACCTTTGAAATTTGAATGCACCCTATTTTTTCGGACCTCAAGCAACCTTATCCTATAAATATTAGAAAATTATACAGAATATAAATAAAACTAATGAAAGTTAAACAATTTGATAATATTAGGTAAATATATTATGTGTTACTTTTATTCATTTTGTTTTTATTTATTTTATTTAGTTGGAATTTGATTCAGGCGTTTCAAGATCCTCCTCTATTAATTCATCATTAATTATCTTTGCAAGTTTCTCATCTTCTAGCATCGTAATATGATTGCCCTCTATAGTATATACTTCTACTTTGCTTTTAGTCACCTGTGAAAATAAAATTATTTAATAGTAAATTAGCATTTCTTTTGACAATTTATATAAAAATTTGTGTAACTTACATTCTGTAATCCATATTCATGGGGCATGTTATACATAGACGGGTTTAACGGTTTGCACAATATGATTGGTGATTTTAAATATGGCGCTGATTCTATATTATAATTTATTATTGATTTTATTCTCATATAATATGATTTAAGAGTATCTTTGCATTCTTGATCAGTATAAAATTTCTTATATTTAGGAGATAGAACGCTTATTAATAAAGATGATTTTTCTTCCCATGTATTTAATTCTTCTAATTTTTGTACAATCTGAAAAGTAATGTTTTAGAATTAATACGATAAATGTAAAAAATATTAAGAAGAAAAATAAAAAACATACAAACCTGTTCGGTAATAGAGGAATCAATCGAATCAGTTATACCAATCAAAATGTTCGTTTCCAAATCTTTGGTTGATGTCGAATATATACGGTTTACCATTCCTTTCATGTGAAGAGGAGAACCGTCTATTAATATTAACTTGCCATTAAAATCTCTGAGTTCTAATTGTCGTGCGAGTTCAAGGGAAATTACCGTTCCAAATGAATATCCCACTATAGTAAAATCTCGTCGATTGTTAAGTTTCTTTAACATATGCTATAATATATAAAATAATACATCACGTTAATGTGATTTTACATTAAACTTCGATGATATATATTTCATTTTTAATGAATTACCGGTAAAATGAAATTGACCATGTCTGAAATATTTGTTAAGTCGCAACGCGAAGCCAATTGGAAAGAAGTCGCAGGCGACTTAATTTTCGGTTCTAAATGCTTGAAAACAGCACTATACCCTTCGATTCCTGGAATGAAAAATATTTCCTTCCGACCTTCCTCTGGATTAGTTTTAAGTGGCAAAATTAAATCATTTTTTAACGTTTCACCGAACAATTGCATTAACATTTTTGTAATAGACAACGTTTCTTTGGATTTCTTATCATCGCTATTACTTTTATTGTTATCTTTATTATTCATTTCAATGAGTTTGGCGAAGTTTAAATTTCTAATATCTTGAGCGCTAAGAAAGATTTCAAATTCACGCTCTAATGTCTGTTTTATTTCTACAGCCATCATAGAATCCATTCCAAGTTCAGCCAAGGAAGTTTGTTGACTGACAGTCTTCAAATCTTTAATACCTGTAATCGTACGAGTTAAGAAGATAAAGATAATTAATAAATAAGAGCATATCACGAAACGAAATGAAATAATTAAGATTAATAATAATAATAATAGTAATGATAATAATAATAATAATAATAATAATAATAATAATAATATAGATTAGACTTACCCATAATGTTTAGGACACAATCTACACAATTATTTACATCATAGGAGCCTAATCGTTTTTCAGCGACTACCATACTAGCAACTACGGGTTTATCTTGTAATAAAAAGTTATTGAGTTCTTTTAGACACGATGATATCTTTTGTTGCAGGGTACCACCAATAACCATTTCTTTATCATTATCCTGCATGTCTGCGACAAGACCGACATCTCCAATCGCACCCCATTGAATAGCTAATCCGGGTAAACCTTCTTCTACTCTTTTCTCACATATTCTTTCCATAACGGAATTAGCCATACCATAATTCGTTTGACCGGCGTTTCCTCTTCCGCACGAAACAGAAGAGAAAACAACGAAGTGTCGAAGATTCGGACAAAGTTTTCTACTAATCTCGTCCAAACGTTTCGTCGGCCAAGCCTTACCTTTGAAAGATTCTTCAAAACTTTCTACAGTTTGATTTTGAAAAATACTATCTTTCAATGAAACTGCTAAATTGAATATACCATCGACAGGACCTAGATCTATCGCTGTTTTCAATATAAGCTCGCAATCTTCTCGTTTACTAGCATCGAGATTAACAAGGATCTTTATATTAACTCCGTAACTTTCCCATGTTCTAATTCTCATACGTTGATAACCATTCTTTAGGCCATTTCGTGATGTAATGACAACATTTTTAGCATGTCGAAGAATCATCCAATCGATTAATTCCAAGCCAAAACCTCCTAAGCCACCAATAATTATATAACTTTTATTCGGATCACATAAATAAGTAGGTATAGTATTAATTGTCATATCCGGTGGGTCACTCTCCTTACGGATCTGTATGAGTATCTGCGAAATTTTGTATAAAACGGAAATTTATCATTCAAGATGGTTATAGTCAAATAATATTCAAACAAAAAACGTCGACTTACTTTTCCTATATGTTTTCCAGACGCCATGAATCTAATTGCTTCTTCTACTTGTTCCTTCTGAAAGATTTGTCTTGTGATCGGTTTGACGGCACCTTTGTCAATCAATTCCGCAACTTTATCAAAGATTTCCTTCTTTAATGTAAAATTATTTGAATTAATTATTTTATCTAACATAACGGCGTGAAAAGAGATATTTTTCTTAAACAAGTCCGCGTTTATGGTATTATTAGAGGCTATATCGAACTTTCCGATTTCTAAAAATTGTCCTCCTTCGGCTAAACAACGCAAAGATGCTTGAAGTTTCTCTTCCGCTAATGAGTTTAGAACGTAGTCTACACCTTTGCCATTGGTTTCACGTAAAATCATTTGTTCGAAGCTGGTATCTCGAGAATTTCCGATATGATTGTCATCGATACTCGGGAATATTTTTTTAATGAATGCACGTTTTTCCGGTGTACCAACGGTAACAAATATTTCAAGACCTTCGTAAAGTGCTAAATTAATAGCGGCTTGACCGATACCACCGGTTCCTGCATGAATAAGTATTTTTTTTCCTTTTTGTATGTTTCCACATAAATAAAAAGCAGTAATACATGTGCTGTATATACATGGAATTGTCGCTGCCTCCTCCAAACTCCAATGTTTAGGTATTAACCATGAAGTAAATTGTTCGGGTTCAGTATAATTTGATAGACATCTAAACAAACAACAAAATAATCGTATTCATATTAAATTTGTAGGATTTACAGGATGCCTCGTATATATATTATATTAAATATCAATAATTCGATCATTTGTCATGAGAGTTCACCTGCTAAAAGCAAATCCCATAATAGGTTCACCCTTCCAAGATATTCCACTATATTCAAAACCAAGTAAATAATCTAATAATTTTCTGTCGTCCGTTATTATTTCCACTGCCAGTTTACCTGTTGCCAACATGATATCTTTGAAATTCAACGAAGCATAATGAATTTTAGTAAGTTTTTTATTATTAGGTGTAAATATCCCTTGAACCCAACATAGCGAACTTAAATCTCCGCGTACCTGTTAAAAAATATGATTTTATTAATTCGTGATATTTTATTAATAAATTAATTAAATAAATATTTTTGCGTACCAATTGACTAATTAAACCATGAAAGGATGGTTTACTCTCGGGGGGTGGAAGTAAGAAATGCCTATACGATCCCCAAACATTTCCTGATCTTAGAACATTGACGGTAAGATTCAGGTCGATTTGTTCGGAATACAATGGTAAATCTAAAGAAAATTTCGGTGCTTTAGAATCTTGAATTAATACAGCTCGGTATATTTCACAGCCAGGTTCTTTTTGTAAGCAATTTATGAATCCTAAAAGACCAGACTCGAAATTTCCTTCTTCAACGAGTATCACTTTTAATTCCTTGTTATCCTCTTCTATTTTTTTATCGATAGCAGTTTTAACTTTTTCCAACCAGTTATATTCATTGCTGTCAACGTGACAGACTAATATATTTACATTTTCATTACTTAGCTTCCTTAACAATACGTAAGATTCGTCGGAAGTACGTTTCTCTGCTATTAAACCTAATTTTAATTCCTTCAAGATCGATAAATTCAACGGCGCGTTAATATTTTCACGTGACAAAATAAAACATTGCGATTTAGTTGCCATTATAAGCTGTTTCAACTTGTCGTTGTTTTTCGCGCTTAATAAATTACATCCAATCGTTAATAACGCGGAATCATCAAATTGTAACTTTTTCAGTTCTAAAACGTTGATATTTTCAGGGATCTCTTCTTCGGTAAATTTCTGTGTTGGTGCAAATATATTAACGTTTGCCTGAATTAATGGTAAATTTCCTAAAATGTCGGAAATTAACGGGGAAGCAAGTTTCCTTTCTGATATATTATCATTTTCATCGATTAGTTCAATTGTTTTCACCATCAGGTTTGGTACATTTTCTAAACAAATGTGAACAGAAAATGTTAATAGATCACGGAACGTCATTACTTCATTGTCGCGATGAGCTACGAATTTATGTTCTTCGATAACTGGATCACCGATAGGTTTCTTTCGAGCAATCGCATTAGCTAAAATATTATGGATTTCTATACCCCCTCCTATAATCACGTCAAGGTCTTTACAATATTGTACGGGTATATCTGAAATAAGAAAATTGCGCTATTTAGTATAAATAATTGGCGAGTAAAGGAATTATTTATATAACTTCAAATTACATTAACTATATAAGTATTTACATTGTTGTTCGAGAGGCAAAGAACGGATAAATTGTTGATGATATTTAGTATCTATTATCATCTTTTTAATTCCAGTCGGTACGAATAAACCTCTAGTATCAAACATGAGAATTTTCATCTGCAATAAGTTATCCATGAACGCTACCCAATTTTTTTTCCATTCAATATATCCTTGGAGTCCGTCGATTGTTGTACTGACAATACTTCGGAACAAACCGGTATATTGGTAACCACGTAGCCTCAACTCTTTATAAATATCTTTCGCCGTTAATATTTCTTCGTCTTTAATATCATCTTTTCTCACATAATTCGGTAATTTCTCCTTCGTAATATCATCCGAAACACGAATGTTTCCGGTAACAATAGCAGTATTTCCTTCGATTATTTCGAAATTACCGGTACCTATTCATTTATAGATCGACAGACGTATATTTAATTACTTTTAAATATAATTTATAAATTATATAGCAACACACACACAATTAAAAAAGTAAATTACCTTTTTGAATCATTACAGTCATTTCAATTTTGCCTTCCTTGGGAATGGTGGTAGCTCGAATAAATTTAATATTTCTAAAGACAACGGGCACTTCCGTGTACAACTGTCCTATCATCATGCCCAAAGTTTCCCAAACTAAACCTAAATATCCTGTAGCGGGGAACAAATTTCTCCCGTCGATATTGTGACCGGTTGTATATTCAAAATCTTCATCGATTATTGTTACATCAATCGTTCGTTCTCCGGAAACTATTCTCTCTTGTATTTTGAAAGACGTTACGTACCAGTTGCTCGAATGATCCCATCTGAACACGTCGGAATATTAAACTTTTACATTACATTCATACAACTTTCAAATGAATTAGCAGATTTCCATGTTTTTCACATAATTCTTATGAATCTTACCTTATCAAAGGGGATATCATTGGAGTACCTCGACTGACCGGAAATTCTACAGGTGGATATAATTTAGCAAGATCAAGTTGTTGACCAATATTATAAAGCTTTCCTAATCCTAGTAGAAAAACTTCTACGTTATCTGTGTGATCTTTTTGAATTAATTCAATATTCGTTACAGTTGAATTCAATGATTTGTTCAAAATCGTTGATAGCGTAGCTTGCGGTGTGATTTCAATGGTAACAGCATTGTCCGGGATAAGGGCTAAGGTTTCCTCAAAAAATACAGGTTTCAACAAGCTATTGGTATGATACTCGGCCGACGAGAGTCTAGCAGCTGAAGTCGACCATTCGTTGCGTGGTACCGAAGTACTAAGCCATTTTTCGCTTCGAGGTTTCGCTACTGGTATTACTTCTTTTAAATATGACAAAAGTTTCGGTCCAGCTGGTGCGATATAACGACTATGATAAGGTACATTACCGCATGACACTTCTTTCACCAAAATTTTGTTTGCCTGTTAAACATAACGTGATATATACAAATATATATATATATATATATATATATATATATATATATATATATATTATATTATATTTCCGTTAATTTCAAACGAACCTTCAAGTTTTTAACAAATGCTTTTATAGATTCAGTCGGTCCGCTAACGATAGAACTGTCAGGTCCATTGTAAGCTGCTACGTCTACATCAGCAGGACACAATTGTTTAAGATTTTTATAACCAATTTCCACCGCTGCCATAGAACCAGATGGTATTTTTGTTTGTATAGGGGCCACTCCTCGCGAATAAGCTGCCAATATTACTTCCTCAAGGGTCAAAGATTTATCTGCGTACGCACAAGCAAGTTCACCGATCGAATGTCCGATTATGTAGTCCGGTGTTATACCCACGGCAGTTAGAAGATCTACCAAGCCGATCTGTAAAATGTTTCATTTTCTCTTTCTTTCTCTCTTTCCCTCCCTCCTTCTCTTTCAGATTTTATAGAAGAAAATATTTATCGGACATTACCTGAACCGCAGCAATTCCAACGGACGAGTGCAAGACATTGTCAAATATACTGTTGTCCTTTTTAGACAAAATATCATAAATATTCAATTTGCGAGGTTTCAACACGGCGTCGCATTTCTCTATCGCTTTGGCAAACACGGTGAACCTCATCAGAGCTTGACCTAATCAATTTCCAATTATTTGTACTATATAATTTCAATATTTATGAAATATAAGATTAACAAAAAAAAAAGAAATAAAATATCCTTACCCATTCCAGGCCACTCCGAGCCCAATCCAGAAAATATGTAACATATTGGCCTCTTAATATCAGAATACTTCTCTATTTCCCTTTTATTCTTGTTGGTTGTTTTAAGACTTGCTATCACGTAGCCTCGATACATATGGCCTGATATTTCTTCACGATGAATATCATGGAAAAGACGTATAAATTCAACGTTTACCGGTGGTTTCTCGATCTATCAAGAAAATATATATGAAAAATATTACGTAATAATGTGTTTTTAACACAGAAAAAAGAAAATTTGTTATATTTGTTTAACGTACTCGATTCAATAAGGTTTCTACTGCTTCTTCGGTACGTCCAGAAACAGTTACGAGTCTAGGCAAACCATCGTTAGGCAATTTTCTGACCTTAGTTTTCGGATGTGATTGAAGTAAAACGTGACCATTGGCACCACCAAAACCGAATGAATTAATTCCTATGTATGAACCTTCCAACGGTGTCGGTTCGGTAACAACCACTATCCGGTTTTCTTTAAAACAATCCACATCGTCGCGTGGATTTATAAAATTAATATTCGGTGCTATTATACCTGTCTCCAATGTTATGATTGCCTACAAAATATTGAAAATAATTAATGTGATGAACGAATAAAAAATATAAAACGTTAGGCATTTAGGTTTAACCCTTAACAGCCACACAGAGTGACTAGTATATGGTAACTAGGTTACATTAGACTGAGGTATGGCCGTTATGGGTTTAAAGAATATTGTTTACCTTGACAAGGGATACAATTCCACTGGCTGGTTCAGTATGACCAAGATTTGATTTTATAGAACCAACTTTAAGAGGAGTAGTTCTATTTTTACACATAACTATATCAATGGCATTCAATTCTTCGGGATCGCCAACTCTCGTTCCGGTACCATGAGCTTCGATGTAATGGACGTCTTTCGGTGGTATACCACATTCCTCGTAAAACTCTTCGAGAAGAATACTCTGTCTCTCGCTGGATGGAAACGTTATTCCCTCTTCCTTGTAACCGTCGCAATTAGTTTTCGCGTGTGAAAACGTAGCGTAAATTCTCTTCGCATTTCGAGATTTTTGCAGAAATGCTACAGCGACCGCTTCGCTACGCGTGTAACCATTTGCATCTTTGTCGAAACATTTGCATATACCTTCGCGAGACAATACACCTATCGAAAAGGAAAATTGTTCTTGTGAAAAAGTAAAGATAAATAAATGTAAAACACTTATTCATGTTGGCCGTTATCAATACCTAAACGACTGAATTGCAGTGACACGAATGGATGAAGGCAGAGATTAGATCCACCGACGATCGCATAATCACTTTGTCCATAACGTATTGATTTGTAAGCATGTTCCATCGCGTATATACTCGAACTGCATGCGGTATCTATGGTATATGATAATCCAGTTACACCCAACCACTGTGAAATTCTGTTCGCCAACATAGATCTGCTGCAACCCATGAGACCATATCCGTTTACCTATAGTTAAAGACAAATATTACGTTTTTTTTTTTTTTTTTTTATAGTAATCAAGTAACAGCGTATAATCATAGAAGTGATCGTTTATTAATCGTTTCACTTACTTGCATTTTCTCGTAGAACCATGTTTTTTCGGATTCGGAGAAACATGAACCTATGATTACAGATACTCTCTTTCCACGCAATTCTTTTGGATTAATCCCAGCATCCACTATAGCTTCGTAAGCATGCTCGAGTAACATTCTACACATAGGATCCATGGTATGGGCTTGCTTATACTCGATGTCAAAAAATGTTGCGTCGAATTTTTCAATGTCGTTTATTTTTCCATGTCGTTTTGGAATTTCCGGATGATCTTATTAAATAAAATATTAATTGATTTAATATTAACTCTCTTTGGCCAATCAATTGTACACGATCGATCAAATAGATATATTATGTTAGGATGAATCAAAAGTTTAAAAGTGCGTTTTTTTGTATTATTATTATTAATATTTCACTTGCATATATAAAGTAATTTTATTTGACCTCAAATTAATACACTATCTGAAACAACACTATAAACGCACGAACTTTTAATTGACCCTAATATCATGTGTATATAATATTCAATACCTAATGCCCAACGACGTTCATCATCCGTGATACAATCTTTACGATTAAAAATATTTTCCTTCAATATTTCCACATTTTCGGATTCCGGAAATCTACCAGAGATTCCGGAAACAACAACTTCTTCGCCCGGTTCTGGAGTTTCATATTTGAAGTATCTGTACGGCTTATCGAATTCATCACTCATGATGATCTTTTTTTTTTTATTGTATTTCTTACGTTAAAAAATAAAGTATAAAAATAATAAACTGAAACTTAAATTTAAACTTGAACATAAACTATATAACTTGGGAACTGTAATTGAAACTGAAATTAACTATTCTCGTACAATTGTTAAAATCGTCAACGGCGCATTCTTTTTATAACAATGTCTTGACCCCCCTTATTTCAATAACTACATCCTATCACGTAAGCAAATGCGTAGTCTTGCTAATTTCCATTGAATTTATTTTAATATAAATCAATAGAAAGGTGACTCTTAGGTTCAAATATATCTTTTTATTCTGATTAGGTAAAACGACGTTATTTGCGTTTGTTTTCATTGTTAGACATTCCTTTTCTTTTCTTTCAGTTTCTTTTTTTTATATGCGAAATATCAATAAATGCGTTAATTCAATTAATATATTAATGTAAATTCGTTTAATTCGATCGAAGATTCGATTAACCGAAATAAAAAGCAGGGGATGATACACAGAAAAAGATATTTTATATTTTTCATTCGATTCTTTATAAAATCCGACTATGGTAGATTTAAACATGTACGCACGAAGGTGTTAATGACGTAAATGGTCGTTAACGTAACAGCATTTATGAATGATTCATAAATTACATTTTCTTTTTAGAACCCCCAACTATATTTGATGCTAGAATATATTTATTTTATTATCTTACTTAAATCTCTTTTTTTTATCAGAGAAGCTTTGGTATCTCTTAGTTAGTATAGTAGGTTTGATACCACGTATTTTCGAAATGAACACGAACAAAAAATTCTTATTCAAGAATGCATCCTACAATTGAAACGATGAAAGCAACCATATAAATATTAAAAGTAAAATATTTAAAAAAAAAAAAAAAAAGAAAAAAAATAAAGAAATAAAATTCTTTTCGTTCGTCTACTTTTGTGTTTCATCAAATATAACATAATACTTAATACATATTCGTAGCACATGTTATCATTATAAACCAAATGTCAAGGGTTACCGGATATCTTAACATTTTACATAATACATATAGATGTTAATTACACATTACATTTCCTTCTAATTAATATTCTTACGCTCTTTCACGAATACTGCATTTTAACATCTGCGATACGTTCAAATGAATGTTTCACGCGTCGATTAAATTCATGATCAATTCATAAAATCATTAATGAAATATTAACAATACATGTGTGAAAATAACTAATAAGAAAAAAAGAAAACAATATTAAGCATTAAACGTTATTCGAACAAAATTTTTCAGTACTTCTCGTGGTAGGCTCAAAACTTTTCAACCCACTCTCGTATGTTATGCTCAAAACTTATCTTATTATCCTCAATTAAATTTTCCACCTCGTCCTGTCTCATTCTTAAACAATAAATTGTTGAAAATAAGTAATTTGCACGTATATATGGTATTTACAAAACACAATGAATATCTTTATTGTATATCAATAGTATAGCTTATATTAAATTACAAAATTAAAGACTATTTTTATTTTATTAAACGTCTCTCTAGCGTTATTAATATATTATGTTATTATTATATATATTTATGTATGCATATATATATACACATGCACGCGCACAATCACGCACACACACTCGCGCAGACACATACACATACATTTATAAACAATCGCAAAATATCTTTTAGTTTTTCTATATAATATTTGATTAAATAGTACCAATAATTATTGTACCGCGTTTACTTTGTACTTCTTTAATACGCGTCTCGTTAAACTTGTTAGTTTACGCGTTATATAACATATAAAGTTATAATTTACAATACTATTAAATATTAATAAGTTAAATCCGTGAACAATAGAAGAATATCTGATGAGTTTGCTTTGCAAAACAAGTTTCTTTTCTTTGTATAATTTTTTTGTTACGTAAATCTGCATGTATATCTTATGATAATAAAAAGAGTGACAAAATAGCAATAATAGTAATAGTAATAATAATAATAATAATAATAATAATAATAATAATAATAATAAACAAACAAACGAATAGCATATTTTTCCCGGAAGCAAATAATAATTAATTAATGATGAACATAAAATTCAAATAAATATATTCTATGTATGTACGCTATCCAAATTTGATTCACATATATTTATATGTATATATTATATAAAATTAAGTAATTATTTTAATCCTTAGAAACATCAACAAAGTGTACTTTCTTTCCTTGACCATCCAAAGCTTCCATAAGACTTGAAGTAAAACTGAATTCTGAAGTACTTTCGTCGTCCTGCGCCCTACAAGAGAAATAAATTGTAAAAAAGTATCTTACAAAATAAGAAATAAGCAATTCGCGAATATCTGTATTTTGAAAAAATAAAATAAAAACGTACGACGTATCTAAGCTCGTAATACTGCCATTTAGATCAGGTAGATTGAAAGAACCTTCTATTTTGTATAACACGAGAAAAGAATTAACGGAAGCAATATAAATTCCTTTTGAATTAGTTACACCTAAATATCGTATGCTTGAAAATTCTATCAGAGTTCTTTCTGGAGTTTTCGATGATAATGTAAATGCTTCTGCATCTAATTTGATTATTTCTATTGATGAAAAATGTATGATGAATAAATATGGCTTTCGAAAGGCTGAAAAATAAAAAGTAAAAGCATGTTGTAAATTTCCACAAGTATTTTATAACAAATAATAATAGAAAAACAAAAATAAAAAATATATATATATATATATATAAATCTTGCTTTACCAAAAGCAAATGGTAAATGACTCCATGTTAGATCAATGCTTCGTGTTCTATTACCATTTTCACTAACAAACACGCCAAACTCATTATAACAGAGCAAAAGTTCAACAGTTGAAAATTTACATGACACATTTAAAACACAAATTGGAAAAATACCGAGTCTTGCAACACCAGATAGTGTAGCCTTAACTGAATTGTCATCTTCCTCTGGAAAATCTGTATAATAATTTTAATATTTAATTAATATGTTTAAAAATTGTATATTATATTAATATTTATCTTTCACTTACCTTCAACATAATAATTATCGAGATCAATTTGAAAGAATTTGTTACATCCAACAATGAGACGATGTTTCGTAAATATAGCACAGCTGCAAGGCTTAGGTGTTTCAAATTCACGAATTTTAACGAATCCTCCGCGATCCTCTTCGACAATCCACTTGAATAATCTATGTATTAAAAGAATCAAATAATAATAAGAAGAGAAAAAGAAGAAGAAGAATAAAAAGATTTACAGTATGGAACATACATTATACATGATTCAAATGCAGCACAAATGAACGAGTCTTGTAATTGATAGAAATGACAACTTTCGGAACCCGTCAAAACAGCTTTCGTATTTATCGCCGGCCTAGAACACTCGGCTGCGAGCGAATTGCTCTTTAATTGTCTCAAAGAACAATACACTAATTGTCTATTGTCGCCGGCTATCATTACAGCTATGTCTAAAGGAGGATGTAAAGACAATTGATGAACTTTCTTCACTCCACGAATCATCGTAAGTATTTTCGATTTGGTGCCACAATAAGAAAATAATCCTTCTTCCGCACCTAACAAAAGTACATTTCCTTCCGTCATATCTACCGCACAATTTATGTCCAACTGAAAGTATATTAAAAATATTGTGTAAACAAAACTCAACAAATGGATTATCGAAAGAAATGTAATAATTATAAAAAAATAATACCTGATGTTTCTCTAACTTAAGTACCGTTTGATATTTTTCATTTTTCATTAATTTAACAGACGAACATTGACTAGTAACAATTTTAAGAGCTTTCACCCAATTCTTTTTATCAGTTTGATTTAAGGCCATAATATCCAGTCTAGATGTGGGCCAACAAGTTGTTAAAGAATTGGATTCTATTCTAAAGATAAATGGTAGATCAGACTTTGCAGTTCCAATTACTTCAGCTTCTTGAATATTCTCCACAATGTTAAAACCTTCTTTATCGTTTAGATTTAAACAATGTATTGGTGACATTCCAGGGGAAGGTTGATGGTCGTATATACATAAACGAGATTCTTCTAATCTCAGGTAATTTCTTTCCCAACAGGATTTAGATCGTGCCGGTACTTTCGCCCAGCCTTCCATCGAAACATCACTATTGTTATCTTGAACATTTTGAGGACTCTATAAAACGATACAAATCAAATAAATTATATTCATTCTTTATATTTAATTATATCTAATCAACTTTAATATCACCAATTTAAATAAAATATTTACCGTATCAGGTTTATCCGGTTGGTCTATAGATAATGTTTGAACGCTGCCGCCCAAAGATGATATACTATCATCTCTATCCTTCATAATTCTATTAAATTGTTTGCTGAAATCTCCAGGAAGACCACACGTTGCAGGAACGGATAATGAACATTTCAAATGTGCCATTATTTGACATTCGCTACAAATAGCTGCGCGTTTTCCAAACTGAATGGAATCCCTGCATCCAGAGCATTTTCCAGCACGCATCGGTAATGCTACGTTAAATCTATGTGAAATATTATGACCCATTCTCTGCGGCGACAAACGTTTAGTTAAAATGTCATTAGTCGTTTCCGTAACGTGTGCCATAGGCCTTTTTATTTCTGGAGATGATGGCGAGGAAGGTGCCGATGCAGATATATGCATAGCCTTATATGCTAATAATTGATCCGTTAATGATTTCACCTTGGCTCGTTCTTTGGTAAGTTGATTTTCTAATTCGCGATATCCAATCGGCATGCTCGTACTGATAGGAGGAATATTTTCTTTTTGTTTAGTACCAAGAATTTTGTCGCACATTGTCTTCTTTTTCTTACCAGATTCTTCCAACTTCAATTGTAAATAATCTATTAATTTAGCCTGCTGCTGTCGAGTACTTTCAGCTTTAACTTCTCTCTCTTGATAGAATTGTCTCATTTCAGCTAAAACATTTTCCATTTCTGCTATTCTACATCTGAGATCTTGATTCAGGTCTATGCTATTTTGTAAATCTCCCATTAACGTATAATTGATTTCCTTTAATTCGTGTAAACTCGTTAAGTGTTGGCTACTTTCTTCTTTGACTATTATCGCTTCCGCTTTAGCATTTTCAAGTGCGCGTTGCATTTCGGATAAATCGCATTCTAAATCGCCGCATTTCATACTCAAAGATTCAACCTGTACCGTCAACTCTTGTACCAACTTTTTATATTGATCTCTTTGAGCAATTAAATTATTTCTTTCACTTTCCAGATCATTTACTTCCACCTCTAATTTTTCGACATTACGTTCTGCCGTCAATTTCAATTTGTTTTCTTCGTTTAGCGTTGCTTGCAATGTACGTAACTTTCCTTCCGCAGTTTCTAAATCTTTTTGTAACTTCATTTTATCTTGAATCAACATATTCTCTCGAGTTTCATGATCACTCGTTAATCTTTCGTAATCCGTTAATTGTTCCTCAAGTACCGTACAAGTTTCTTTAAGAAGCTCGATGTTAAGCTCGTAACCATTTATTTCCTGTTCTAATTTTTCTATTTTCATTTCCAATGCTACTTTGTCTTCGTTATTTTTCATACTGGATTGCGACAAACGTTTATTTTCTGCATTCAGACTGTCTATGCGATCTTGATACACACGCAATTGTTTACGCGTTGCATCCACCTCTCTTCGTAATGCTGCACTCGTAGACTGAAGTTCTTCCATCTCGCGATTAGCTTGCGTTAACGCCTGTGCACATAATATAAAATAATATTAAAAAGGATTAAAATTTAAATGAATATAAATATACGTGGTGTAATATACCACGGGTAAATATCTTTACCCTTTGAGCTGAATCTGCTTGCAGTTTATTTCTAGTTGCTTCTTTTGTTATTTCATTTAAAGATGTTTTAGCGCTGTCCAATTCTTTCAATAATTTTTTCGACTTCTCTTCGTCTTCTTTTGTTTTATTATTTATTCTGTCCAATAACTTCTGCTTGTCCTCCTGCAACGTTTTGATTTTACCTTCAGCTGTTTTTACTTCTCTCAACGCAATTCGTTTGTCCAAGTTGGAATCGGACAACTCTTTTTCTTTTTTCCATAAAGTCATTTGAGTCTGCCTTACTGTTTGTCGTTCGGCAGTAACATTTTCTCTTAAAGTTTCGATTTGTTGTTCGAGTTTTTGCACTTGTTCTTGTAAATGTGAATTCTTTTCAAGTAAATTTTCTGAAAAAACCACGTTACTGTTTGATTCCGTAAACCCTGATTTTTTAAGACTAGCATTTTCAGCTTCCAATTTAGTAACACTCTGCTCCAAACGTTTCAATAGTTCTTCCAAATTACCAACTTTACGTAAATGTTCCTCTATAAAAAAATAAACAAATAAAATAACTAATATACAAATTTTTAGATTTATCTGTTCCAAAAATAATGTAGAACGTACCTTCCTTATCCAAAGAATCTTGTAATCTTTTTTGCAAAACAGCTTTGTCTTGTGTAATTTGTTCTAAATTTAAGGCAAGAGTTTCATTCTGTTCCAAATTTACTATGGTATCATTCAAATCAGATTTAGTTGACTATAAACAAATGACAATTATAAACAATTACTTTCCTATAATTCAGATAGATGAAGTAAACCAAAATATGATTGTATAATTTAATATGTTTATAATTTTTTAATTAATTCTTACTTCCAATTGTTCCTTAAGTTGTTCATTTTCTGTCTTCAACATTTCAAGTTGTTCTCGCATATTAGTAAAAGTTTGCTCCGATATCTGCACATTTTCCAATTGTTTGGTTCTTTCTTGCAACTGTTTACGTAAAGTTTCTATTTCAGTCTCTCTCACAGGTATTGTAGCTTGTAAAGCACGTAATTGCTCTTGACAATCTTTAAGTTCATTCTGGGCGAGTTCCAAAGCAACGTGGAGCCTCGACTGACGACAATGATTAGAATCTTGTTCATTTCTTAATTTACTTTCTAATTCCGTATTTTTTACTACTTCAAAATCTAGTTTAGCACGTAATTCAGATATTTGATTATGTGAACGGTTTGCTATTTCTTCTAACTTTGTTTCAACCCCTTGAACACTCTGTCGGTTGAGCTCTCTGGTTTTGGCTAAAGATTCCTTATATTGCAACTGTTATAAAAAATTGTATTTAAAATATGATGAATATTCTAAGATATATTATTGTTTGAAGTAAACAAAAATTATTTTAGGTTAATTCTATAAAACATATAACAAACCTGAAATAGTCTAAGTTTATGTAATTCTGCATTAGCGGTTTCAAGTTCACACTCCATTCTCTGTAACCTGGAACTCATTTCGTTGTTACTAGTACACAATTCTGTGATGCGCGTAGTTTGAGTATCAATGTGTTTATTAAGTTGTACAACTTTTTCTTTTTCTGCATTTTCCCATTTACGCTTAGCATCTTTTATAAGAGCAAGAGCTTTACTCTCTAAATCTCTTCTCTCTTGACGTTCCAATTCTAAAAAATTCATCAAGAATAATTATGCACAATAGAAGCAAAGATCATATAACAATATGATCTGCCATATAACTGCACTTTGAAAAATATTTTCTGATTATTTATATTCTTAATAACATCAAAGTAATATACTTTACATTGATATTAATATAATATATAATTAATGTTTATATAGA